ATCCATGTGTTGATGGCTCACGTTGTGGTCTGGATGATTCGTATTATAAATTGTTGCGGCAGGTTTAGCACATTCATAATTTCGATAATAGATTGCAACAATTTCTATTCTTTCTTCAGTAGAATAAACCATGTTGGAACACAGTGAACAAGGATGACTGAATAATAATTCGTGAAGAAGTAACAGTGTCCAACTACCTACTTTTTGTTCTGCGACAACTATAGATTCAACAAAAACTACCAGTGCATAAAAAACTAATAGTGTCGTTAATTAAATAAATTCTACAAATGGGAGGCCATTTTGAACATTTTATTTGTTGATTGTGTTGCCATCGATATTACTTTTGTTGATATCCTTGATAAAATGAGCGACAGCGAATTTTCTGTTTTTTCTTAAATAAAACGTCCAACATTTAATTTCTCAATAAAAAAATGAACCAATTACAGAAGTAATAGAGGGACAAAAGGTTATTCAAATGATGGCAATTGAAAAAAATTGGTTTGATTGCTACCTTTCTTTGGAAGATTCCTACATTTTTTGTATAAAGATAGAGAATTAGAAAGCCGAAACCAATTAATTAATCTTTCCTAGAAATATACCCCTTTCAATTCAAAGAACAAAATCTAGTGAATTGTTTTTTCAACTCCAAAAGATTTATGCAGCTTTCTCCCCTGATTGTGTCACCGTATAAACCGTCGATTCTCTATTTTCGTCGCCCACTAATGATTGGTCTCATAATTCATTCGCGAGTATCAAAGCCAAGTCTTCTGGCGCTGCAATTAACCAACATAATTTTTAAGTGTTTAAGTGGTTCCAGTCACAATGAGTGAACTTTTTTATTGGGAGATTATAAATGTACTTATTCGAACAGTAGTCAAAACAGGGGGAAACTATTCCGGCTCTAATAGATCCGAAATTGAATTTGAAATAGATCGAAACATAGGCGTAGGCGATATCTTACTGTGGGAGGGTTCAGTAACATGACCTTGTGAATTCTGGAAAATTGAGATGAATCTGCATGTCGCTGATTTTATTGATTTTCCACGAATTTCGTTTGTTTCAATCTAAAAATTCCTGCACAGTTTAAACCACATTCAAAGTTTGCATTATTTATTTTGAAATGGGGCAGTCAAAACCCCGATTTCTCTCTGAAGAAAGACACAAAAACAAATTCTCCCGACACCCGTATTGCTAACCTAGTTAGCATCATCAGGTGATGGTATAAATTAATTTCACTGCCCTTTTGATATATAATAAAGGATACCTTCTAATTCCAACGTTGTTCTTCATTTTGAGTATAGAGGGAGCTCTCTACGAAGTTTCGAAAAAAGATTTTGAAAATTGAGTAAGTGGGAAGCTTTTTTCTTCGAGTTTTTGAAGTCATTTCTTCTTACGTCGAATTCCTACTACGTCGAAATCTCGTTAGGTCGAATTCCGCCATCTACAATCAATTCAAGTTACACGTCCGTTTCTGACTTACAGGAGGGTCAAGTTTTCGTTGAAACGCCCTCTATACGACCAGTTATTGATGAACAGAACATTTTTCTTCATGAAAAATACTTTAAACTTACATAGTAACTCATCGGGGAGTTTATTTTGAAATTGATTGCTACCTTTCTTTGGAAGATTCCTACTTTTTTTTGTATAAAGATAGAGAATTAGAAAGCCGAAACCAATTGGTTGCTGTCGCTCAAATTGAGCGACAGCGGAAATGCACAAGAGTCATGGCTCACATATTTGAGGATGCATAACTCTAAGATTGTAGATAATTTCGTTGGCCAATTGAAATCCACGATGAAATGCACACACTGTGGATACTCTTCAGTAACATTTGATCCTTTCTTCCCTTTCCCAAGCAATCGAAAAAACCGCATTTGTTAACGAATATGTTACAGGTATGCGACAGCCATTAGAAAAAACTACCAAGGAATCCAATTCTCTCCAGTTTTCATAAAGTAACATGTACCTACGCCTTTGGATCGTGTTCATCTCCCGCATTCAGGGGGATGCTCCGAATGTGTGTTTATTATGAGTTCATGCCGGAAGGTTTGGTCTTTTTTTGTCGTTTAACCAAATTGGATTTTTATTTGTTAGGTTGGTACAAGTGGCAAGTCGGATACCGGCGTGAAATTGGGGTGATATATTAGACGTGTGTTGGGTGAACTGTGTTTCTTGTTTGAAATATAGCTGCTTTTGTCTCGTTATCTGATGAAAGGGGTTCCCTTTATGTACACCGTTGGACAAATGTACGATGATATTGATTTTGCGCGAGATTTGTTTCGTAAAGGGATTTATGTGTAACCAGCTACAAAATTGATTATAATCAGAGAAGGAAACTCTGCTGGTACTGATATTTAACTTGGTTTCATCAGTCAATCATTCAAGAAAATGAATATTAGGAACGCCTACACCGTAGGTTCTGGTAAATACCTGGCGGAAATAGTATATTGTACAGCAAGTGAGAAAAACGACATATTTCTCACGAGCGCAGAAGCGCTAATCAAGCGCAGAAGCGCAAATCAAGCGCATTGTACACTGTACTTTTTCTACGGTTGCGTTGTTTCTAAGTATTGAAAATTAAAATACATATATAATAATACTTGTATGCCATTTTGTTTCAACATGTTTTCGGTAATTGAAGTATTAGCTGCGGTCGAAGTTGAAGTTGATGGGGAAACGTACTGATCTTCCACAGCATTGTTGTGTTCAGGTTCTAATGGCACTGGAGGCTTAATGGATTCTACTATACTTTTCGAAATTTTCATTTTGTTAGCTATGGAGTTGTCGATATAAGATTCAGCAACATTGCTGGATTTCCAACCCCCATGACGTTTTGAAGTTGAAAGATCTGCCCCTGCATTAACTGAAATGGTCGCAGATGATCTTTGGAAAGTGGCCAGTTTATAGCATCCTGAAATCAAAACTAAACATTCATTTTTCGATAACAATTCAAAAATGTTCAATTCATACCTCTATCACCAAATACATTTTATCAGGTGCATCTTTTGAAAATCGTTGAATTTCTTCAGAAGTTAATGTTTTTGACTGTTTTGGAGCATATATTTCAGACTGATGATAACATTGAAGCGAAAGTAAATTGTAAATATAATATTTTTAGTATTCAGCCTTGTTTATTGCATTATTTATATTTAAGTTATTGTTCACTAATCTTGTTTAAGTTGTTCAGTTTTGCATTATTCTCAGAGGTCCCCCAATCTGGGTTTTTCAGCAGGCCTTCTAATGAATGGATCTTTTCTAGCCCAAATACTTTCACGTAAGGAGCCCGTATATTTAGGTCTATTTCCATGTAAATATCGTAAACTATTAACAGCTAATTTTTCAATTCCCTTTTTGTTTCTTGTTCCCCTTGTCTTGGAACTTACCAGCTATTATGACCTTTTCCCACCTATTAGTTAATTCGGCCATCTTTCCTCTCCCTTTTATGACCAAACTGACCCCTTCTCTAACTAGCCAGTCAATCCGGTCATCTTTCCTCTCCCTAGAATGACCAAACTGCCCCCTTCTCTAACTAGCTAGTTAATCCAGTCATCTTTCCTCTCCCTATAATGACCAAACTGCCCCCTTCTCTAACTAGCTAGCCAATCCGGTAATATCTCCTCTCCCTATAATTACCAAACTGTCCCCTTCTCTGACTAGTTGGTTAATCTAGTCATATTTCCTCTCCCTATAATGACTAACTGACCCCTTTTCTAACTAGCTAGTTGATCCAGTCATCTTTCCTCTCCCTGTAATGACCAAACTGCCCCCTTCTCTAACTAGCTAGCCAATCCGGTAATCTCTCCTCTCCCTATAATGACCAAACTGTCTCCTTCTCTAACTAGTTGGTTAATCTAGTCATCTTTCCTCTCCCTATAATGACTTAACTGCCCCCTTCTCTAACTAGCTAGCCAATCCGGTAATCTCTCCTCTACCTATAATGACAAAACTGTCCCCTTCTCTAACTAGTTGGTTAATCTAGTCATCTTTCCTCTCCCTATAATGACTTAACTGACCCCTTCTCTAACTAGATAGTTGATCCAGTCATTTTTTCTCTTCCTATAATGACCAAACTGACCCCTTCTCTAACTAGCTAGCCAATCCGGTAATCTCTCCTCTCCCTATAATGACAAAACTGTCCCCTTCTCTAACTAGTTGGTTAATCTAGTCATCTTTCCTCTCCCTATAATGACTAAACTGACCCCTTCTCTAACTAGATAGTTGATCCAGTCATCTTTCCTCTTCCTATAATGACCAAACTGCCCCCTTCTCTAACTAGCTAGCCAATCCGGTAATCTCTCCTCTCCCTATAATGACCAAACTGTCCCCTTCTCTAACTAGTTGGTTAATCTAGTCATCTTTTCTCTTCCTATAATGACCAAACTGACCCCTTCTCTAACTAGATAGTTGATCCAGTCATCTTTTCTCTTCCTATAATGACCAAACTGACCCCTTCTCTAACTAGCTAGTTAATCCAGTTCTCTTTCCTCTCTCTATAATGACCAATCTGACCCCTTCTCTAACTAGCTAGTTGGAATATTGTAATGTAAAATAATAATAAACCTTTTCTTTTCTACAGTACTTGCCAGTTCTTCATCTCACTTACTTTTCCACAAGATTTAATATAATTCTTGTATGTATTCATGCTCACGATAAAGTAATCGTGGGTCAAAAGAAGAATTCAAATACCTTTCATACGAAATGTCACAAGACCTCCCTTTCAAAAAGTACAAAAAATGATTCCTTTTCACAAAAATTCTGTTCGACTTTGATATACTGCTCCGTTCGAAAGTGAGCAGGGGACACTATTCGCGTTCGCACTGTATATGGGACATGAAATAGGTCCGAAGGCAGACCGCTGGGTGCACCATAAGAAATGTCTCTTCACTGAAATTTTTCATTTTGTAAATAAAATCACTTTTTTCACCCCAAAAAAGAAATATAGGCTCCTCTCAGTACATAATCTTTAATTTTTACAACTTCATGCAGTACGCCTATGGAANTCAAAGCTATCAGTTCCTGTTTCTCATTCAACACCTGCAGGGAGCAGAAAAAGTTCTTCCGGGGCAGAGGACAGACGATATCGAGGTGGAAGATGTGTTGGTGCTGAGGAGGGATCAGAGCGGGCTTGGAGTTGATGTTGTTGAATCTTGCTGGTAGATCCAGAGGACAGTCGGCCAAAGATACGTGGAAGATCCCAAATACCAGACCAGAGTTGAAGATTTTCGCTGTGATTGAGGTCTTTTTGGGACTAGAACTATCCACATATACCTGGAAGTTTGATTTCGATCACAAGAAATCTTATACCTTGATAGGAATGTAATTATGATAGGGATATAATTGAAAGTATCAACAAGTACATCAATTAGACGGCTCAAAAACTAAAGAAGGCTCAGAATGTGGAGTGTACTCCAGATAACTAAGCCTAAGGATTAAGTGGGGAATGGGGAATGGGGAACACAAAACAATGCTCAAGGCTCCGATGGCATAAATATCAGATTATTGATTATGTGTTGTCCTTTCATAGTGCCTTACAAAACACACATAATAAATTTCTGCATTAAAACAGGTGATTATCCAAATTGTTGGAAGGAAGCCCTGGTCATACCTCTTCCAAAAAAAAGTAATCCAGAAAGCTTCAAAGATTTGCGTCCAATTAACATTTTGCCAGCTGTTTCTAAGTTATTTGAAAGTGTGATTATCCACCAACTATATGAATTTGTTTCAACTGAAAAAACTTTTACCAGAAACACAATCAGGCTTCTGCCCATCTCATAGTTGTGAAATTACAATTTCAAATATTACAGATGATGTTTTCAGCGCACTTGACCATAAGAAAGCTACAGCACTTGTTATGCTTGATTTTTCGAAAGCTTTCGATACGATAAATCATGTTATTCTCCTCACTATCCTCAAATCCATTGGTTTGTCAAATATCGCGGTTCAACTTTTTGAAAACTATTTGAGCGAGCGAGTGCAAAAAATCAAACTAGATAATATAGTATCCAGTCCATTGAAGATAAATCGCGGTGTTCCACAAGGCTCGATTTTAGGTCCTCTTCTATTCATATTATACACATCGAACTTTGTGAACCTAGTTGAATACTCCAAAATAAAGCTATACGCTTATGATACACGATTACATCTTTCATTCCACCCATCGGACATGAATACTGCAATGCAAAAGCTAAATGAAGACATATCCTCATTGATTTCTACCTCTGCGCAGCATTGTCTTCAAATCAATGCTAGTGAAAGTTCAGTTTTGATCTTTGGGGCTAAGAGAGAATTGAATGGCTTTTGTTTTCTATTCTCACCTCAGTGATTGTGGCCAAAGAGCTTGGTCTAAGGACGGTATTACGATCAGCCTTAAACTCAACGTCCAGCAGGCTTGTGTGGAATTCCGTGAAAAACATCCTCAGCGTTTTGTTCTGCTCCGTACCGTTCGACGTCACAGCCTCTTCTGGTAGAATTCCGTAATTCTTCAAGAAGTAATTTCCTCTCCTACCTGCCTCCTCCAGTTCATGGTCATGGGTCCACATATCTCTGGGCTGGTTCTTGAGGCAGGACCCTTTTGAAACAGAGCAACGGTTTGGCTGCTTCGCAAACGCTTCGTATCCCACTCCTGCTACGTTGCAGGCTTTCCCATCAGACTGCACCTGGTTCTCCCTTATCACCAGGTACTCCCCTACACCACCCCGAAGCTCCGGGTATAGCCTTACGTCCCCCACGTTGCTGATGTCTGGTATGAGCAGCTTGTGGATTTTGTAGTTCAACGAGAACAGTTTGATATTAGTTTCTTCAGCTGAGTAAGCACCGCTGATGGTGGCTTGGTCGTTGACGTAACTAGGAGCGCTGGTACCGATTTCGATGGGGGACAGTTTGGTTAGATCTCGCCACTTGCAGGTGCTCTCTAGGTCCTGGTACTTCTCGAAGATTTGGATGAAGAGGCTGTGGTGCACTTTGGGTTTCTTGAGGTAGTAAACGCCATACCAGATATCAGAGAATTCCAGACAATGGGCGCTGTCGTGGTAGGTTTCGGGGTCCAGGTTCGGGGGGGTGTACTTGTCGGTGCAGTCTTGACCTCCGCGTTTTTGGATGTTGTGGCCGAAGTTATCTGAAAATATCAGTAATTGAGAACAATATTCTTACGATAAATGAAATATGATGGTAGTGCGTATCGTGCGTCAGATAGTCGGCGAGCATTGAGCAAGGAAAACACCCACTTATGACTTCAAAGCAAATCAAATCAAAATATGCTTTATTACCCAAGATATGAACATCTTATTGGCAAAGTCTAGTAAAGTAAAACATGTATATGGGACAATTAACAAATATGAACTATAAAATAATGCTTAGAGACAAGAGCAGGGTATATGGACCGAACAATATTAAGTCCAGCTGAACAGATACAAATATAAGTACATGAATTTATGCATGTTAGGTAAATGTAAATATATAATGCTACATAATGAACATTGATAGCCATTTCGTGTTGGTTTCAATAACTTGTTTACACAAAGCTACATGCCAATTTCTCGATAGAGCCTTGGTAGAATTCGGGCCTCCCAACAAGGAATTGTTTCACTTTCTTTCTTTTCATTTCATATTCGCCCTAAATTAATGGGAAGGTGGTTAAATAACTTCTTGCTATTGAAAATAATAGCATTTTGTGTAAGGGCTATGGAAGGTGTGGGAAAGGAAACGGAGTAAGACTGACGTGTAATATAAGTTGAGGTGTTACTAAATTGATTTTAATATTTTTTGTGGATAAGACACACTGTTTCCAAAATAAAAAGACATACTAAGGTCAGAATGTTTTGCTTCACAATAATGGGCGGCATGTATCCCTGTAGCTAGCCTTGCGTAAATATCTGATGGATCTTTTTTGTAGAAACAAATTCCATAACGTAAATAGGACTCAATTTGTGCAAAATAAACTGATCTTGTGATAGTAGTGTCTAACTCTCTTGCAACAACTCTCACTGCATGACATCCTGCTGCTAGTCATTTACATAAGCAGTCGACATGGAAATCAAATTTAAGATTTTCATCAATGAAGAGCCCTAAAAATTTGTTTATCTCCATTTTCCAAGTGTACTTTTCCTATGTTACATCTAAACGTGACCACATTTGTTTTGTTGATGTTGAATGATAAAAGATTGGAATCACACCACTCTTTAACCCTTCTTATGTCGACGATGATTTGATCAAGTAAATTGGAGGCGGTATTGCTATGCCAGAGGATAGTGGTGTCGTCAGCGAAACGTGAATTTACCACTTATGTCAACATGGACCAAGTTATTGACATAAATGAGAAACAACACCGGTCCCAAAACGGAACCTTGTGGAACCACCCCACTGCCAATGAAACGTTCCTCTGATGAAATTCCATCTAATAGAACATTCTGCCTCCGATGAGAAAGGTATGTCTCAAACCAAAGTAATGCCGATCCTCTAAATCCGTAAACTTCCAGCTTGCGAAGAAGCAGCATGTTGTCTACACAATCGAAGGCCTTGGTTAGGTCACAAAACATGGCCGCCGCAGATTCTCTATCATTACGATTGGTGTACAGGTTTTCCAGGAGTGAAAATATGGCGTCTTGTGTACCTTTTGAAGACTGAAAGCCAAATTTGGATAAATTTATCACATTGTTTTTCTCGAGGAAGGATATTACTAGTTTTTTTTACCAGTTTTTCTATAACTTCAGACAAGACGGGTAGCAAAGCAATTGGCCTAAAATTAGCTGGGTTGTCAAGACAGCCTCCTTTATGTAGAGGAATGATTGTGGCAATTTGCATCCCACCCCACCGAATTTTTATTTTTGATTTCACCAAACATTTCTTTTATTTCATAGATATCCGTAGGTGTGAAGAAGAAAGTAGAAGGTACTGTAATATTTTTGAAGTACGACATTGGGTCGTTTTTCACGATGATTTTCTCAGCCAGTTGACTTGACCAAGGCTTTTGACTGTATCTTTACGATAATCTGTTCATGAAGTAATATCAATATACGAGGGTGATTCCAGAAGTACCCGGACCAATAAGGACAATACAAACATTATGGAAAAAAATTATTTATTTTTCAGCATAATCTCTTTGCAACTATTTACACTTTCCCCACTTAAGTTCGATACGGTTTCTATAATAAAAACTGTTGGACATCGCTTCTTTATCATTGGAGAATCTTCGACCACTGAACCATTTTTTCAAATTTGGGAACAGAAAATAATCCGAGGGGGCTAAATCTGGCAAATGTGGTGTATGAGGTAGCTATTCAAACTTTAATTCGTTAATTTTGGTCATTATGAAAATGGATTCGTGAGCTTGGTGAATTGTTTTGATGGAACAACACTTTTTTCTCAGCCAATGAAAGTTTTTCCACGCGCATCCCAAAAAACCAATGCCATGACCTTGTCTGCAGATGAAATGGTCTTCGCCTTCTTTGGAGACGATTCTCCCCTTTGAATCCACTGATTAGATTGCTCTTTTGTGTAGGATGTAAACTGATGGACCCAGATGGCGCGACTGGGCGCTATCTGGGTCTATCATTATCAAGTTTCTGACGAATACTTCACAACCCCAGAATATGAAGTATATATCTTCAACTACTACAAAATGGCGGAACTTTCAATACTTGACATTCAACTACATGATATGAGGCAATAAGCTTGAGGTCAGTTCAGAAGATGCTTGAAATGGTTTCCTCGAACTTCTTGACATATGCACAGCCTATCCGATATTTCACAACGAACATTTTCGAACACAGTAACTTCAATATCTCTACAAATATTTATTATTCTCTGTCGTATATATCCAATATTGAAGCAGGTTCAGTTTCGTACACCTTTTGCTCCAAATAGCCCCATAAAAAGTCCAAAGGTGTCAAATCTGGCGAGCGGGTTGGCCATTCTTAAGGACCTCAACGGCCAATCCAACGACCGAGAAAAGTAGTATCCAAATAGTTTTTTACTTGTCTGGAGTAATATGGTGGTGCTCCATCTTGTTGCAATACAATATCCATATCGAATTCATTAGGATTCGCTTCGACGATTTCAGTGATGAGAGGGTCAACAGTAGTTTCCAGCATATTCAAATACAGTTCCTCTGTTGAATTTTGATCAATAAATGAAGGCTCTACAATTTGGTTTCCCAATATTCCTACCCAAACGTTAATTTTTTCTGAATATTGGGTATGTGTTTCCCGGAAACGCGAGGGTTGGTGTCATTCCGATAACGGCAATTTTGTCTGTGAAAATTGCCGTTTAAAAAAATATTTTTCAAATATTTTCTACAGATAGGACGATTCGGAAAACGTTCATTGAAAATCTTTTCGATCTCGTGAAAGTTACGCATCGCATCAATGATGTTCGTTGTCGTACTGTCGTACTGTTGTCGTTGTCGTATGATAATAATAATAATAATAATAATAATGTGCTCTGCTGTTTCATCATTTTCCAAAGAGAGGCATCATACACTGTCTTCCGACAGTCCGAGTCTCTGCATATGATAATTTAAATGACAGTGACCTGTAAGAAGGCCTGTTAGACATCACGATTGTACTTTCCAATGAAAGTTGATAGTGGACAGTTACCAAATCTCTTTATCGTTCGCGCTTCTCAGAGGCACAGCTAGTCCTGCCAAGCTGTAGTAATTTATTAATACAATTAGTATCAAGGGTTGGCCAGGACCGTCTAATAAACTGACCAATTTCTGTTGATGGCATTAATAATAAAGTTAACAAACAAGATCATGATCATATCGCCATGAAAAAAGATATTCGAAAATATTTATTTGTAGTTAGTACACCAATGAGTACCAAATTACCCCTTAGCAGAGGGTAAACAACCCCAGCATTTAACCCTGCATCGATTGCCTTTAATGTTGAAATCCATAACTATTTTATGATTATTTATTTAAAGTCAGGTAAAGTAACACCAAGAAATATCTGCATTAATAACTTTGTAACAGTTCGATTTTATATCCTTTTTATTACATTCTATAATTCGTTTATGACGTACTCACCAAAGACTGTTAATTTCTGATCATTTGCGAGTTGAAAAGGTCTAGAATAGTCTTCATTATGGCCAGTAATATCGGCTTCGTTTACAGTCGGTGGGTCTGCTTGAAGGTTGCCGCTTTTACCTGGAAGAAATTAGAAAGTTTACAGATCAAATTAAAAACTAACACATGTTAAACGCATTTACACCTTAGTTGTGGAAAAACTAGTAGTCCAGGAGGAATCAGTGCAAGACTACCGAATCTATTCCAAGTCAATTTTTTTATGCGATATTCTTGAAATTACCCAACTGATGACATAAATGCATGTTGCATATTGATTAAACAATTAAAAGGGATTGTTTTCTTTCAACCGAAAAAATTTCTTCAATTTCTGTATCGAAGTATGAATAAAAAAGGCCCTATAAGTCAGAGAGAGACGGCGATACTTAAAGGTAAGGAACGCATACTGGTGAGCGGGCGTAATAAACAATTGAATAAAACTGAGTAAAACTTTTTTTTGAGTTAGTTTTCATTGGAAAAAAAGATAATGATGTAGATAACGTACTAAAAACTAAAAAATAATTCGGAAGGTCCTAGGTAGTATTTATCACACAACTCTCCTCAGCAATCTACGGTATTGATCAAAATATGTGTAATAGTCCGGTCAAATTAGATAAAAAATAAGAGTAAACCTACCTAAATTCCCACCAAGCTGAAAAACAGTAAGATTGTTCAAAATATTATCAAAAATTAAATTTGAAAGTTCCCCATCATTCCCCTGTATAGAAAAAAATGTATTCAAGGTCAAAGTTCAGAAATAAAAGAGTTTTTCGCGATTTTCAGCAAAACGGTGAATTTTATCATAAAAATACTTCCGACAAAAATTGTAGATCATAAAATTATCTACAAAAAATGTATTACTTTTTTTTCCTACGAGCCACTGTTTTTGAGATATAACGATTCAAAAAGTTGTAAAAGTTGTAATCGTCATAATATGCATAAGTACCCCACGTTCATACATCTCTGTAGTTGTAATATATGTAGTTGTAATATATTTCTCTAACGGTCATTGTACATGAATTATCTCCCTACCCTTTATCGTTGTTTGATGACATCGGGATGCGTAAAACACAAAAGTCTGCCAATTACGATTGTTTCGAAAAGATAGATTTTGATATTAACAACACAAATGCGATACATCATTAACGGAGGATATTTACTACATCGCGTTGTGTGGGATAGCGAAGAAACATTAAACGTTATCTTAGATAACGTACAGTATGTACGTAGACAGTTTGGTTCCAGAGTTACTGTCGTATTTGATGGCTATAATGATTGCACGAGAAATACCAAAGCTGCAGAACAACGTCGTCGAACTTCAGCAACATCTACATCAATTGATATTTTATTTGATGAAAATATGACAGTTCCAACCAGTCAACAAAAATTTCTTACAAATACTCACAACAAGTCTCGGTTCATTTCAATGTTGAAAGAAAATTTTTCTGCTGAAAATATATTGGTGAAACAAGCTAATAATGATGCTGATGTATTGATAATTGAAACAGCAATAGAGCAATTCAATTTGACAAATACAACTTTTGTTGTTGGTGAAGATGTAGACTTACTCGTATTACTCACTGCTCGAACCCCAACTGAAAAAACTATCTTCTTCTTAAAACCAAAAATGCCGGATTGTTTTGTTTTCTGGTATGTACACATTGTCAAGGCTCTAATCACCAACAGTGGAGGATCGCTTTGATTCCAACGAGGCGATACATCGCTATTGACGCAGTTCACATGTATTCAGGATGAAGATGAAGATGAAGGAGAACAAGAACAAGAAGAAGAACAAGACGAACAAGAACAAGACGTTCAAGAAGAAGAACAAGAAGAATTCGAAAGTTACGACTCGGACGATTAAATTTCACTAGATGGGAAACCATATTATAACGATTACAACTTTTACAACATTTTAATTCGTTATATCTCAAAAACGGTGGCTCGTAGGAAAAAAGTATTGATACATTTTTGTAGATAATTTCATGATCTACAATTTTTGTCTGAAGTATTTTTATGATAAAACTTACCGTTTTGATGAAAATCGTAAAAAACTAATTTTTTTTGACCTTTGACCTTGAATTTTTTTTCCATCCAGGAGAAAAATGGGGAACTTTCAAATTTTATTTTTAATCATATTTTAAACGATCTTACTGATTTTCAGCTTGGTGGGAATTTAGGTAGCTTCGAATGTCTCATTTGACCGGACTATATATAGTACCAAATCACAATTTTCATATTTTCCCCACAAAAAATGACTTTCCTTCAATATTTGTATACGGTTATCAATATTCACAACTTACCGTCAAAATAAAAATTATTTCCCAAGATACCATCAGCTTCAGAAGTATTTCTGGTTTTCTTGAAAACTTCATTGAGGAGGGGTACTCGAAAACTGTCAGAATCATTCGAATTTCTCTGTATTTTGTTCGACTGGTATTTGTTTTTATCACAGGAGCAACAAAAACCTGTGCTGAAAGGAACCGGTTCATTTTTGTACTTCACCACTCCGCAGGTTGGACTTTTGAATGGATTCACGTTGCATCCAGTAAAACCTGAAAATGGTGTATAAGAAACTCGTTATCTACTACATGGGCTGAACAGTTTTGGGCCTAACACATAGATGGCGCCAGTATTATTACATTCACCGCTTTTTCAGAAACAACATATAATGGTTGGTTAGCTAACTTCAAACCATGGGAAAAACGATATCTTCTCCAGCCAGAAAAGTGAGGATCTCTGGAACGGAGATCGACTGGCAAGCGCGTAGGCCCACCTGGAACCCGCAGCCAGGCAGGGGTTCACCTTGAAGGGCGGTACTGATGTCTGAGGACATTCATGTCGCCATCCCATGATCAGTTATGACCCGTTTGTCCTTCTGACAAACGCCAGTCGTAAAGGTAAGTGAGCCAGGCTCCAACCTGTTCAAAATTAAGATGGCATTGGTCAATGATGATGCAGAACGCAGTCCAAATGAGGCAGTAACACAAAAAATCCACAGAATAGTTTTGAATGAACGAAAAGTGATGTTGCCTGAGTTAGCAGACATTGTAAATATATCAAAAAAACGTGTTGGTACCTCGACCAAAGCGCCTAAAAGCACAACAATCGGCTGGAAAGGTTATGGCCCCGGTATTTTGGGATGTGCGTGGTATAATATTCATCGACTATCTTGAGAAGGGAAACACCATCAACAGTGAATATTATATAGCGTTATTTGAGTGTTTGAAGGCTGAAATTGCGTAAAAACGACTCCGTTTGAAGAAAAATAAAATGCTGCTTCATCAAGACTAAGCACAGTGATACAAATCAATGAAAACGATGCCAAAATTGCATGAAATAGGCTCCGATTTGCTCCGGCATATACCATATTCGCCACTGGCTCTTCGCAGACCTCAAAAAAATGCTCACCGGTAAGAAATTTCGCTCAAATGAAGATATTATTGATGACACTGAGGCCTAGTCTGGTATTGAAATGTTAGAAACGCGTTTCCTTTCTTAGGCCCGGGACGCTTCAGCCAATGTGTTACTATTGCACGAAACGATTCTTTTCAATCAGAGTGGTGCTCAAAATGAAGGTTATCGAGAAGTCTCACCAGCTTCTTGTTTGTTATGAACTTTCTCCCTAGCTTGAGAATTCACCATGGCCTCAAATCCCAACTCGTATCGTTGAAACACAGGCTTCTGTCTGATCTTCAGAACGTAAGGGTTCAACAGTTTCTGTTTCTGCTGCGTTATAGAGTCAAACACGTGGTCAATGACGATATACTGGTTCTTGCAATTGGTGATCCATCTATTTTTCACCTTCACCGTCAGCTTGATCTTCCTCTTACAGTTGGTGATCCCCTCGTCTTTCTTGATGCAGTGCGGGATCTCTTTGGCGTTGCGTTTCGATTTTTGGACCAGGAGCGGGGGTTTTTTACTTTCGGAGCTTCCTTCACTCTTTTCGGTGTTCCGACATTTCACGAGAAGGGCTCTTACTTCAAAATTTGTTGGTTCCACGGATTTCTTGCAGCAGCTGAGGTGCTGAGCACAACATCTGGCATTTTTCTCTTCCCTGGACAACCTTTCATCAAGATTGGCTTCTTCGGTTCGTATTGTATAGATGAAGAGGAAAATGAGGGCAAAATGCCTCATGTGACTTGTTGAGCTGACAGGACTTTCGCGTAGACAGATGTCAATTCATCAATTATCATCATTGTCATTCGCGGGAGTGAATTGGTCTGAATGAAAGAAGGTTTTATGGAACGGATTGATTGCTGCATATTATTTTTACTCCACGAAGGATCTGGTCTTCAGAACTAGTCAAAATCACATCTAGAACCAACCGGAATGAGAAGTCGATACCTCAGTCATCTGTTAATGGTTATTTCGTAGTGTAGCAGGTTCTTTGAATAAAGGAATGAAATATTAGGAAAATGTATATATACAGGGTGTAACTAAATAAGTGTATAACATTTGAGGAGGTGATTCCTCATCGAAAAAAGATAGGATCTTTTCATATAAAGAAACTTCATTGGAGCATCCCTTGTTAAGATACAGCCCCTTAAAGGGGGTACATAAAATTTGTTAGTGCATCCAGTACTGCGGAGGAAGTTCCTTTGGGCTTCAGAAGGGATATGGTTTTTATGCATGATGGGGCTCCCGCCTATTTTAGTCAAGTAGCACTTCAGCATTCAACTGAAACATATGCAAATCAGTGGATAGGTCGAGGAGGACCACAGAACTGGCCCGCTCGATCTCCGGATCTCAATCCTCTCGATTTCTCTATTTGAGGTAATTTACTACATTTGGTTTATCGTACTCCTGTTCGCGATGTAGAGGATTTAAGAAACCGCATCATCGATGCGTGCAGGGTAATCAGACATACTCCAGGAATATTTGAGAATATTTGAGAATATACAATAGCTTCCTCAAGCATTTTCATACTCAGTATGTCATACAATAGCTTCCTCAAGCATTTTCATACTCAGTATGCTATACAATATCTTCCTCAAGCATTTTGATACACACCATGCTTCCTCAGTAGTTTCCCTATACAGTTTCATACTCATTATAGTGTACAATAGCTTCCTCAAGCGTTTCCATACTCAATATGCTATACAATAATTCCCTCAAGCATTTTCATATACATTATGCTTCCTCAGTAGCTTCCTTAAGCATTTTCATACTCAGTATACGATATAATAACTTCCTCAAGCATTTTCATACTCAGTATTCTATACAATATGTTCCTTAAGCATTTTCATACACTTTATGCTTCCTCAGTAGATTCCTCAGTAGTTTCCTCAAGCATTTTCATAGTCAGTATACTATACAATAGCTTCCTCAAGCGTTTTCATACTCAGTGTGCTATACAATAGCTTTCTCAAGCATTTTCATACTCAGTATGCTATATAATATCTTCCTCAAGCATTTTCATACACATTATGTTTCCTCAGTAGCTTCCTCAGTAGTTTCCTCATGTATTTTCGTACTCAGTATACTATACAATAGCTTCCTCAAGCGATTTTATACTCAACAAGCTATACAATATCTTCCTCAAGCATTTTGATATTCAGTATGCTAGACGATCCTTCCTCGAACATTTTCATACACATTATGCTTCCTCAGTAGCTTCCTCAGTAGTTTCCTTATGTATTTTCATACTCAGTATACTATACAGTAGCTTCCTCAAGCGTTTTCATACTCAACATGCTGTACAATATCTTCCTCAAGCATTTTCATACTTAGTATGCTATGCAATAGCTTTCTCAAGCGTTTTCATACTCAGTATGCTATACAATATGTTTCTCCGACGTTTTCATACTCAGTATGCTATACAATATCTTCCTCAAGCATTTTCATACTCAGTATGCTATACAATATCTTCCTCAAGCATTTTCATAGCTTTCTCAAGCATAGCATAGCATACTCAGTAGGTATGCTATACAATATGTTCCTATGACGTTTTTATACTCAGTATGCTATACAATATCTTGCATTTCATACTCAGTATGATATACAATATGTTCCTCAGGCGTTTTCATACTCAGTATGCCATACAATTATAAGACAAAAAGTTACATTGAAAATACATTTTAGGGGTTGCGTTTTCCACCCCTTACAACCATGGGGTAAACCAAATAAATTTCTGGCTAAGTGTCTTTTTGGTAGTACAAACCGTCAGCTTAATTTCAATAGTGTTATTTTTTTAGTGATTTTCATACTCAGTATACTGTACAAGAGCTTCCTCAAGCGTTTTCATACTCAGTATGCTATACAATATATTCCTCAAGCATTTTCATACTTAGTATGCTATACAATATGTTCCTCAAGCATTTTCATACACATTCTGCTCCCTCAGTAGCTTCCTCAACCATATTCATACTCAGTGTTCTATACAATAGCTTCCTCAGGCATTTTTATACTCAGTATGCTATACAATAGTTTCTTCAAACATTTTCAAACTCAGTATGCTATACAATAGTTTCTTCAAACATTTTTAAACTCAATATGCTATACAATATCTTTCTCAAGCATTTTCATACTCAGTATGCCATACAATATCTTCCTCAAACATTTCCATACTCAGTATGCTGTACAATATCTTCCTCTATCATTCACTTACACATTATGCTTCCTCAGAAGCTTCCTCAGTAGTTTCCTCATGCATTTTCATACTTAATATACTATACAATAGCTTCCTCAGAAGTTTTCATACTCAGTATGCTATACAATTCTTCTTCAAACATTTTCATACTTAGTATACTATACAATAGCTTCCTCAAGTGCTTTCATACTCAGTATGCTATACAATATCTTCCTCAAACATTTTCACACTAAGGATGCTATACAGTATGTTCCTCAAGCATTTTCATACACATTATGCTTCCTCAGTAGCTTCCTCAAGCGTTTTCATACTCAGTATGCTATACAATATGTTCCTCAAGCATTTTCATACACATTCTGCTCCCTCAGTAGCTTCCTCAGTATGCTATACAATAGCTTTCTCAAGCGTTTTCATATTCAGTGGTGGAAATGAAGACCTGAATTATCTTTACTATTATTTTCCTTATGGTTGTTCGGCACCTATTTCCGAAACTCAGGTACATTCGGGTGGGCGTGCCAGCATTATCAACCAACGACCACTTCACACACATTGGGCCCGAGAATCTGTGCTCTGAGCAAGAGCAGTGAGCCAAGAAAGACAGTCTTCTGATTTTGTCCGGCTAAAATTTCTGCCTTAGTGCGGTACAATCATTATAATTAATTATTGACTAATTTCGGCACACTGGAAAATATACTTATGTATGAAAATATTCGGCATTTAATATTGTTTTCTGATAATTACTTGAAAAAGCAACTAACACGATTTAAGTTTTTAGAAAGTTGCAAAACATTTTCCACTTAGTAAACGTTATTGGTATGTTAATATCTAGGGGAGTGGGTTCGGCATGTGTGTCTTAAATGTTTGAACCACTTCAAACCACTCATCTATTTACCTATACGATCTATAATAAACGTTTCCTACTTCCATTTGACGAGACGGAAATACTCAAAGTATGGCAACATGTGTTTTCATTCAGGAAAATAAATTTAGCAACGGAAAGTTCATAAAGCTGTTCTTGTAAATGATTTACTGTTTATGAAGAATTAACCGGTAAACATTAAGAGTTCGGAACATTTCTTGTTAAATTGTATCAATTATTCAGAAAAAAAATTGGGCAAATGGAGACAAATTATTTCACCAAAATGTATTTCGGAATGATGAATTCATGGAATTTGAAATTTCATAGGTCAGATTACCTATTTCTTGAATAATAATGATTTTATCTATACTTATACGAAAGTCACTAACACTACACTCATTCATCTCTGTTTCTTCGTGCAGGTGAGTCCTAGGAAGCTGAAATTTTGTACACAGGTCGGTGCTTCTTAGGTCTTAGATGCGCACTAAGAAAGTATTGCAACTCAAACTGAAGTTTGAATAGAGCCATGCAGATGATAGCACTGTTTGCTATTGAAAACGCTCGATGGCAATGTATTCTTGTCAAAATGGCAATAGATTCTTGTCAAGATAGAAATATATTCTTTTTAAGATAATGATAAATCTATGCATAAATCTGTTCTGTTTTCCCATCAACCACCTTTCACCAACATTATTATGAAGATAGTATCGGTGAAGAAAGATTTTAGCTGTCCACTTCTTCATATTTATGCATGATGGACCAATAGAAAACCAAAACCTTATTTCTCTCTCAAAAACACATGACGATACATTCTTGCCAAGATGGCAATATATTCTTGTAAAGATGGTAATATAAAATGAGGTGAATTTTCATTTTTCTCTCACAGTAGTCCCCCCAGATATATTATACTTCATAAGTCCTCAAGTTTTTTCCTCATAATTTCAAAGAATTCGGAACCCATCCTTTACTTCCTCTGCAATGCAAAATGATAGTCGCGATCCTTTGTTTGCAGGCATGTTAGGCGTACACATTCTCGAACAATCAGTCCACCCATACCAAGTTTCGTCCAAATAGAAAATTTGCCTTTGTTCTTGTCTATATTTAGTTATTTGTTTTAAGTATTTGTTACACAATTCCACCATTCTTCTGCTTTCCATAACTGTTTGACATTTGTTTATTATTTTAAATCTAAATCCTAGTTTCTTTATCCATTTCTGAAGAGTTTTGTCACAGCAGCTGACGTTATGGCCGAAAGTATTCAATTTCAGTTGTAGGAATCTCATTGCTTTTGTAACAGTCATATTTTGTTTTTTTTTCAATGATTTTATTAGATGAACATCGAGAGGTTTTGGTAATCCTGAATTTCAGTCAAATCTGATGTTGCTCGTAATATTTTGTTTCCCTCGAAACTAAACTTGAGATGTAGATTCTCATATACATTAGAACATACTCTCTGTGTTTCAATATTCAAATGCATCTGAATCTTATTCACCGGTATCTCTTTTTCGCATTGTTCACCAGCGCTAGTGAAATCACTACACAGGAAAAAGTCTGCGTTGTTATCACACTCGTTATTACTGTTAGTACTTGTCCAAGGACGCCACATTTTGAACAGATAACAAAAATTTTATGTTATTTCAACTGTACCAATATTGAATTTTAACATTCAAATCGCGATCGGCGATAACCATCCCCGCATTTCCCAATTTCTATTCGTCACCGTAACATGACCTCATATCA